AAAAAACAGCTAAGCTGACTTGGTAGCAAACGCTGCTTTCCATACTTTGGACCCAATGCTCCTTGTATTGCAAGTCGCATTTTGCTGCATTAGCATGTGCTGTCAAATCGAACGCAGAGCGGTCAGCGATTCCGACGCACTCCAACCACCCATAGGACCCAAAGATCTCTGCATCCCAGCAGTCACAGGCATAGTGAGCCATCTCTGTCGGCAGGTGCTGACGAAAACGAATGTATTCCTGGTGCCCCGGTCAGGAGTCCGGAAGCTTCTGGTCTTGGTACTACACTTGTGCATGCACACCTCAAGCTTCTGGCCTTCGCGTTCCCATGCATTTGCTTCTTCACACTCACATGCGTGTGTATTACATGTGCGAAAGCGCCCGGTTTTTGTGATCGTTCTACGGGAGACGGAAACATTTCAAAATGCATCAAATATGCTTTCCTGCACAATTGGATAAGATGCGTCGCCGCCTAGGAACACTTCACAAGCACAAAGGTCCTTCTTCAATCCGATACTGACCAGGAATTGCCATGTCTTAACAATGAAGTAGCCCAGAGTCTCATTGTTGATGAGACCCGAACGCACTGCTTCCCCAACTGTCATCTTGACAGGGTCTTGTGCAGAGAGCTGTGCATCCGCATGGAATAGAGTCAGCACGGTACTTTCCACCAGTCCAAACTTTGGATGATCCTTGCAGCAAGAAGCAGCGGAGAAACGTACAACTGACATTTGAACACAAAGAATATGGAGCTTACACACCCATACGTCAATCATCAAGTCATCTCTGTAAATGACATACAATCACAAACTGTGCTTTCTACTTCTACTGCAAACGCTAGCTTTTGCAAACATACTCGAAGTATCTCGAAGTGATCCGTGCAAGTCCGTCATGACACTGCTTGTGGCAAGCGTCTCCGAATGTGGAAGACAACGACCCCTATTCCAGTTTTCATCACACGTCACCACACGCACCGCACTTAGTGTGAGGTATAGTCTGGGACAAGTGTGCAGATCTTAATTTTGCCGTTGACAACTCGTGCGCAAAAGAATGCTCCAGTTACCTCCTCATAGTTGGTCATCTTGAGTATTTTGCATGTAAATAAATAAAGTCCGACCTGTTTTCCATCCATCAGAAACAATTGCAATTCAGGATAGCTCCACCAAACTTTGCTCAACGTGATTGCAGCAGCACTATACAAAAAACATCTTATGGGATAGGTTGAGATGCGAACGGCTAAACAACAACAGGTAGAGATAAATGGTTACAAATGGCTCCGCCGTGCTAGCTCACCCAAACTTATCAAGACATGTCAAGAGCAACAAGCCAGCAAACATGTGAAGCTATCAGGCATCAAGCCATCACGTCATCCTGTTCTATCACATTGTATTTCTATGTTTACAGTTGTTGCGTTGTTGCATGGGTCTGTTCTGGAATACTTTGCTCCAACGTAGTCAAGAAATTGAACTGAAGTATGTGAACATTTTAATATTTGCTAGCAATGCTTTGCTGTTCTCTTGAAGATTGGTCACTCGTGACACACAAATCATTCAAACGAGTTAGTGTGGACCTCATCCACTCCAGGTCACACAACAAAAGATCCAAGTAAAAGTGAGAGTCAGTATGGATGATATCTGCACGATTTGCAACAATGTGCTTTGGATCTTTTCAGAACATCTGGCCTTCTGCTTGGGATTCACAAAATACTCGATCTCTGCTTGGGTGAACTCTCTCTGTCTTGTAAGGCCAGCCCGGGGCGCAATCTCATTGCGGAAAGAGCGCCCCACTTGCGCCACACCAAAGGGAAGGCGGTTGGAGTTCTGCTCCAAGCAATACCTGAAACACGATAAAACTGGGAATTAGTGGTGACATCTACAGTCACCACCTTCAAGAAATGGAACAGGCCCGTGCGAGCTGCGGCAGCTTTGGTCCTGGTGATATTAGCAAAAAGGTCTAGAGACCAAAACTCATGGCAATCTGCTCTGAAAAGACCAAGTTGTTGGTTTTGTCCATTGTGGGCCAAAAACAAGCACCGGACGGTCAAAATCTGTTGACGACTGCTTCCCGTGAGAGGTTCAAAGGCAAACCTATGCAAAAAATAATTAAATCACCAAGGTGCTTATAATTCAAGAAAATGCCCTGCGCTGTCTCTGGTCGTAGGTAACCCTGCAAATAGCCACCTGGGCCAATTGGGGTCGGAAACATCAAATTGAACTCGTAGGGCTCGCTCAAGCCATTCCCTGTCTCCGGGGACTTGATCGCCTGAAATTTGGGCGTCTGCAATGCATTCTGAAAACCAGCTGCGCGATTGAACAATGAACTGCGATCTGATAAGATTGGAGATCAGGATACAAAGAAAGATTTAGCAAAGCCGGCACTATTTAAGCCCGTCCAGTTCTAAAGCTACGTCAATCACCCAAACACTTACATGAATGTGCTGTATGCTCTTACCAGGACCAGTGCATCTGGGCTTCGTATTTCTGAAACATCTCCCACATCTCTTTCTGTGAGAAGGCATCCGCCTGCGACTCAAGAAACTTTGGTGTCAGAACTAAACATGATGTCAATGTCCACATTTCAAAATTCACACAAACTTTAGCACTTGTCTGCCGCATCAGAAGAAAGAAGAACATCATACTTCCAACTATCCAACACTTTTAGATCCAGCTCCGTCAAGATTAAGAAACTCGCCTTTCCAAGCTTGCAGGATCTGTCTGCATACTCAACTGGTTTCATCATTTCCATCCGCTGAAACCACTCTTATCGTCTCTTCCATGCCCGTCACCCCCCGCCTGGTTTCGCACAGTGGTGTACTCATGCCTCTGTGCTTCGGTGATGCCTGGCCAAATCGATGTCGACTGCTCTCCAGTGGGGCTGTCCTGGTCTGACATTCCAAATACTATTCAATATTAATTTGAGTGGTACATGGGTCGTAGGGGCCTTGTGCCTCTTCCTTTGGGAGAAGAACTTGATAGAAAGCAAGTTTCGCATTGGCTCCTGCCTGGTGTTTGCAGCTTGGCTTCCATGACCTCCTCTAAGAGCTTGTCGGCTCTGAAGAACTTGGACTCGTCCTACAATCTATTTCTCAAAAGGGACGGCCATACTGCGAGTGTAAGCCTTCAGCACTAGCATGAAGGGATGTAAAGGGGAGCCACATAAGGCAAATGGGTTGACAATCCTAAGTGTCATGGTTGGATTCAAACCATTCTGGCTGCACGTCTTGCCGGCAGGCAAGGCAAGCAAGCGAAAACTGATGGCATCTTTATATTGGTATTGAACTTATTGTTATTAGAGTGTGTCATCAGAAACTCATTCTTGCCTTCACTGCAGGAAAGCTCAAGAAATCAAGTCCGGCACATCTCTCTCCTCGACGTCCTTCACCATAAAGTCATTGAAGCGATCTACATGACCAGAAGCTTTGAGAACAGAATGCTGCATAATGCAGCTGTCCTGACAGAAGGGTCAAGAAAATGCATTGACTGATTCCACACCTTTGATCCCGTCTTGATTGAGGGCAACTGAATGCAATGGGTCAGGTTTGCATTGGCGGCATACTGCAATACATATCCACACATAAGATCCTGAATCCCCAAAGTCGGTCCTAACACGCTCTAACACTTTCACGAGTCCTCAATCTCCAGGAGATGTTCGGAGATCACGAAGGTCTGTCTCCAAAGGCTGATGATATTGTTCTTCACGGCGCAACCTGGTGGGCCATAGGTATAGAAGCCTGCAACACCACCATAGATGTCCGATGCTTGCCGGTAGAAGAAGCGCCTCTTGCAAAGCTCCAGAAGCTCTTTCTGATTGCGTCCGAATCGGTCCTGGTCTTTGTCCTCGGGATCCGTCATCAGTTCTGAAGAACTTATCAGCTTTGGTTTTGCCTCCACTTCTGAT